CTCCACGTCTCCTCCTCATCCACCTCCTCCTCGACGCCTCCTGCTCCTTCTCTTCCTCATCCACGCCTCCTCCTCCCCCACCACCACCACCATCTCACCATCAACATCGTCTTCAACATCCTCACACGACTATCAGAGTTCACGTCTTTTTCTCCAAGCCCTTCACGCTGGACGCAAGTGTTCCACCACCACCACCACCACCGTCACCACCACCACCACCACCGCTACCGCCACCGCCACCGCCACACGTCTTCTTCACGGCCCAACCGCAGATGATGTCCCCCTACCTCAACCCCTGTCTGTCGCCTCTGGCCGGCGTGGCCGGAGGGGAGGCGATGTTCAGGGGCAGTCGGCGCCACGTGGAGCAGCCCTCGGGAGCTGCCCCAGGCATCTTCCCTCCCAGCTTCTACCCTTCTGCTCACCACCACCACCAGCAGCAGCAGCATCATCAGCAGCAGCAGATTCACCATCACCACCATCATCAGCATCATCAGAGTCCAGGGTTGGTCATGCCCGGTCTGCACGAGTCTGCTGCTACTGCTGCTGGAGTCTTTGGTGGTGGTGGTGGTGGTGGTGTTGGTGGACTTATTGGTGGTGGACACTTTCGACTTCCACTGACTAAAGACGATTACCTCCATCCATCTGACCTCAACCACCACCTCAGCCACCAGCAGCAACTCCATCACCAACTCCACCATCAACTCCACCACCCATACGCCCACCACCACCACCAGCATCATCATCATCATCAGCAGCAGGAGCAGCATCATCATCAGCAGCAGCGGAGCATCGATTACGATGGTACAGGGTCGGTACATCTTCAATACCACAGTCACCACGCTAATCATGGCTACGGGACTCTGAGCATCATAGCAGCAGCAGCAGCCCACCACCATCACCACAACAACCAACACACAGGAGGAGGTGGTGGTGGTGGTGGTGGTGCCTTCTTCAGATATCTGAGACAGCCCATCAAGGAGGAGCTGATTTGCAAGTGGGCAGACAAAGGGTGCGGTGATGGTGGGGTGCGAGATAGCGATCATCAGCAGCACAGTCAGCAGCAAAATGGTCATCAGATAGATCAGAATCATCATCATCAGCAGCAGCAGAATCAGGATGGTCATCATCATCATCATCAGAATCATCATCATATCAATTCTGCTCACCATCCAAATCATCATCATCATCAGCAACAGCAGCAGCAGCAGAATGGTGATGACGACCATAATCATAATCGCCATCAGCACGGCCACAATCAAAACCTCCACCATCAACAACAACAACAACATCCTCACCATCATCAACATCATCATCATCGTCGTGAAGGAGGGACAGGTGAAGAGGAGGTGGCTGCAAGTTATCGTCGGTGTAGCGGCGGTGGTGGCTGTGACAGCTGCGGTGGGACCTCGTGTGTCAGTAGTGGTGGTAGTGGTGGTGGTAGTGGTGGTGGTGGTAGTGGTGGTGGTAGTGGTAGTGGTGGTGGTAGTGGTGGTGGTGGTGGTAGTGGTAGTGGTGGTGGTAGTGGTGGTGGTAGTGGTAGTGGTGGTGGTAGTGGTGGTGGTAGTGGTGGTGGTGGTGGTGGTGGTAGTGGTGGTGGTGGTGACAGGACCGGTGGCAACGGTGGTGGTAGCTCCAGTGGCAGTTTCATTGGCGGTGGTGGCATCGGTGGTGATGGCGGTGGTGATGATGGCATCGGCGGTGGTAGCAGTGGCATTGGTGGTGGCATAGGCGGTGGTGGTGGTGCAATCGGTGGTGGTGGTGGCATTGGTGGCGGTGGTGGTGGTGGCATTGGTGGTGGTGGTGGTGGCATTGGTGGTGGTGGCATTGGTGGTGGCATCGACGTCGGCGATGGCGGCGGCGCCGCGTGCGGGCGGACCTTCTCCACGATGCACGAGCTCGTGACGCACGTGAGCGTGGAGCACGTGGCCTGCGGGGGCGGGGCTTACGGCCCCGCCCAGCTGGAGCAGCTGGAGGAGCGGCAGCAGCAGCAGCAGCACCACGTGTGCCGCTGGCAGAGCTGCCCGCGAGCCGGCAAGCCCTTCAAGGCCAAGTACAAGCTGGTGAACCACGTGAGGGTGCACACGGGCGAGAAGCCCTTCCCGTGCCCCTTCGCCGCGTGCGGGAAGGTGTTCGCTCGCTCCGAGAACCTCAAGATACACAAGAGGACACACACAGGTGAGGAGTGGGTGAGGGGGTGAGTGAGTGGGTGAGGGGGTGAGTGAGTGGGTGAGGGGGTGAGGGGGTGAGTGAGTGGGTGGGTGAGTGAGTGAACGTGTGGGTGGGTGAGTGAGTGAACGAGTGGGTGAGTGAGTGAGTGAACGAGTGGGTGGGTGAGTGAGTGAACGAGTGGGTGGGTGAGTGGTTGAACGAGTGGGTGAGTGAGTGAACGAGTGGGTAAGTGGGTGGGTGGGTGAGCGGGTGGGTGGGTGAGTGAGTGCACGAGTGGGTGGGTGAGTGAACGAGTGGGTGAGTGGGTGAACGAGTGGGTGGATGAGTGAGTGAACGAGTGAGTGGGTGAGTGAGTGAACGAGTGGGTGGGTGAGTGAGTGGGTGAGTGAGTGGGTGGGTGAGTGAGTGAACGAGTGGGTGGGTGGGTGAGTGGGTGAGTGGGTGGGTGAGTGGGTGGGTGGGTGAGTGAGTGGGTGAGTGAACAAGTGGGTGGGTGAGTGAGTGGGTGAGTGAACGAGTGGGTGAGTGGGTGAGTGAGTGGGTGGGTGGGTGAGTGAGTGGGTGAGTGAGTGAACGAGTGAGTGGGTGAGTGAGTGAACGAGTGAGTGAACGAGTGGGTGGGTGAGTGGGTGGGTGGGTGAGTGGGTGGGTGAGTGGGTGGGTGGGTGAGTGGGTGGGTGAGTGGGTGGGTGGGTGAGTGGGTGGGTGAGTGGGTGGTTGGGTGAGTGGGTGGGTGAGTGGGTGGGTGGGTGGGTGAGTGGGTGAGTGGGTGAGTGGGTGAGTGGGTGAGTGGGTGAGTGGGTGAGTGGGTGGGTGGGTGAGTGGGTGAGGGGGTGGGTGGGTGAGTGGGTGGGTGGGTGGGTGAGTGGGTGGGTGGGTGGGTGGGTGAGTGGGTGGGTGGGTGGGTGAGTGAGTGGGTGGGTGAGTGGGTGGGTGGGTGGGTGAGTGGGTGAGGGGGTGGGTGGGTGAGTGGGTGAGTGGGTGAGGGGGTGGGTGGGTGAGTGGGTGAGGGGGTGGGTGGGTGAGTGGGTGGGTGAGTGGGTGAGGGGGTGGGTGGGTGAGTGTGTGGGTGAGTGGTGCCATCCAGCGCCATTATTCAGCCCACACCGGGCCCCTCTCGGGCCGGTACTCCACCCATAGCCCGTTGACATCCAGCGATGTCACTGCACCACCATCATACACCACCATCATACACCACCATCATACACTACCATCATACACTACCATCATACACCACCATCATACACCACCATCATACACCACCATCATACACTACCATCATACACCACCATCATACACCACCATCATACACCACCATCATACACCACCATCATACACCACCATCATACACCACCATCATACACCACCATCATACACCACCATCATACACTACCATCATACACCACCATCATACACCACCATCACCACCACCATCATACACCACCATCATACACTACCGTCATGCACCACCATCATACACCACCATCATACACCACCATCATACACCACCATCATACACCACCATCATACACCACCATCACCACCACCATCATCACCGCCATCATGCACCACCATCATACACCACCATCATACACTACCATCATACACCACCATCATACACCACCATCATACACCACCATCATACACCACCATCATACACCACCATCATACACCACCATCATACACTACCATCATACACTACCATCATACACCACCATCATACACCACCATCATACACCACCATCATACACTACCATCATACACCACCATCATACACCACCATCATACACCACCATCATACACCACCATCATACACCACCATCATACACCACCATCATACACCACCATCATACACCACCATCATACACTACCATCATACACCACCATCATACACCACCATCACCACCACCATCATACACCACCATCATACACTACCGTCATACACCACCATCATACACCACCATCATACACCACCATCATACACCACCATCATACACCACCATCATACACCACCATCACCACCACCATCATCACCGCCATCATGCACCACCATCATACACCACCATCATACACTACCATCATACACCACCATCATACACCACCATCATACACCACCATCATACACTACCATCATACACCACCATCATACACCACCATCATCACCACCATCATACACTACCATCATACACTACCATCATACACCGCCATCATACACCACCATCATCACCACCATCATACACTACCATCATACACTACCATCATACACCACCATCATACACCACCATCATACACCACCATCATACACCACCATCATACACTACCATCATACACCACCATCATACACCACCATCATACACTACCATCATACACCACCATCATACACCACCACCATCATACACTACCATCATCACCACCATCATACACCACCATCATACACCACCATCATCACCACCATCATACACCACCATCATACACTACCATCATACACCACCATCATACACCACCATCATACACTACCATCATACACCACCATCATACACTACCATCATACACTACCATCATACACTACCATCATACACTACCATCATACACCACCATCATACACCACCATCATACACCACATCATACACCACCATCATACACCACCATCATACACTACCATCATACACTACCATCATACACCACCATCATACACCACCATCATACACCACCATCATACACCACCATCATACACCACCATCATACACTACCATCATACACTACCATCATACACCACCATCATACACTACCATCATACACCACCATCATACACTACCATCATACACTACCATCATACACCACCATCATCACCGCCATCATGCACCGCCATCATACACCACCATCATACACCACCATCATCACCACCATCATACACCACCATCATACACCACCATCATCACCACCATCATCACCACCATCATACACTACCATCATACACCACCATCATCACCACCATCATACACCACCATCATACACCACCATCATCACCACCATCATACACCACCATCATACACTACCATCATACACCACCATCATACACCACCATCATACACCATCATCATACACCACCATCATACACCACCATCATACACCACCATCATACACCACCATCATACACTACCATCATACACTACCATCATACACTACCATCATACACCACCATCATCACCGCCATCATGCACTGCCATCATACACCACCATCATACACCACCATCATACACCACCATCATACACCACCATCATACACCACCATCATACACCACCATTATACACCACCATCATACACTACCATCATACACTACCATCATACACCACCATCATACACCACCATCATACACCACCACAGCATGTTTTTTTGTTTGCAAGTTCACCACAAGTACGTGCGGTTAATGCAGACACGATTCCTTGCGAAAGGTTTATGTTTGGTGTGTTAGCATCTTAACACAGCCGTTTCATTGCCTTGAAGGGTGAAAACCTTCTTGTTATATTGCGATACTGCCAAGGGAGGTCCCATGACGGAGGTCCCATGACGGAGGTCCCATGACGGAGGTCCCATGACGGAGGTCCCATGACGGAGGTCCCATGACGGAGGTCCCATGACGGAGGTCCCATGACGGAGGTCCCATGACGGAGGTCCCATGACGGAGGTCCCATGACGGAGGTCCCATGACGGAGGTCCCATGACGGAGGTCCCATGACGGAGGTCCCATGACGGAGGTCCCATGACGGAGGTCCCATGACGGAGGTCCCATGACGGAGGTCCCATGACGGAGGTCCCATGACGGAGGTCCCATGACGGAGGTCCCATGACGGAGGTCCCATGACGGACCCTTTCATCCAATCAGAGACCTTTGTTTATTTTCCCTTAGCCAATCCCTGTCCTTGACGGATCTTCCCTGTCTCGCGCCTAATCCAAATTCAAATTTTGTTCCGTCCAATCACCTTCAAAGTCTGCCTCTCGACCAATCGCAGTGTAGCCCCGTTTCAACCAATCGGAGACCTTCGTTTATTTTCAAATCGCCGTTAGGCTGCATATTGTATTGGGGTCATGTGTCGGTCATTACACGTTGAGCAGATTGCGTGAATATAAACATGTCGTGTTGTGTCTTATTGTGTTGTGTTGTGTTATCTTGTGTCTTATTGTGTGGTGTTGTGTTGTGTCTTATTGTGTTGTGTTGTGTATTGTGCTGTGTCTTATTGTGTTGTGTTGTGTCTTATTGTGTTGTGTTGTGTCTTGTTGTGTTGTGTCGTGTTGTGTTGTGTGTTGTGTTGTGTCTTGTTGTGTTGTTGTGTTGTGTTGTGTCTTGTTGTGTTGTGTCGTGTTGTGTTGTGTCTTGTTGTCTTGTGTTGTGTTGTGTTGATGTGTTGTGTTGTGTCTTGTTGTCTTGTGTTGTGTTGTGTTGGTGTGTTGTGTTGTGTTGTGTCGTGCTGTGTTGTGTTGTGTCTTGTTGTCTTGTGTGTTGTGTTGTGTCGTGTTGTGTTGTGTCTTGTTGTCTTGTGTTGTGTTGTGTCTTGTTGTGATGTGTTGTGTTGTGTCTTGTTGTGTTGTGTTGTGTCTTGTTGTGTCGTGTTGTGTTGTGTTGTTGTGTTGTGTTGTGTCTTGTTGTGTTGTGTTGTTGTGTTGTGTCTTGTTGTCTTGTGTTGTGTTGTGTCTTGTTGTGATGTGTTGTGTTGTGTTGTTGTGTTGTGTCTTGTTGTGTTGTGTTGTGTCTTGTTGTCTTGTGTTGTGTCGTGTTGTGTCTTGTTGTGATGTGTTGTGTTGTTGTGTTGTGTTGTGTCTTGTTGTGTTGTGTCTTGTTGTGTTGTGTTGTGTCTTAGTGTGTTGTGTTGCGTTGTGTTGTGTTGTGTGGTGTTGTGTTGTGTTGTGTCTTGTTGTGTTGTGTCTTGTTGTGTCGTGTTGTGTCTTGTTGTGTTGTGTTGTGTCGTGTTGTGTCTTATTGTGTTGTGTTGCGTTGTGTTGTGTTGTGTCTTGTTGTGTTGTGTCTTGTTGTGTCGTGTTGTGTTGTGTGGTGTTGTGTGGTGTTGTGTCGTGTTGTGTCGTGTTGTGTCGTGTTGTGTCGTGTTGTGTCGTGTTGTGTCGTGTTGTGTCGTGTTGTGTCGTGTTGTGTCGTGTTGTGTCGTGTTGTGTCGTGTTGTGTCGTGTTGTGTTGTGTTGTGTTGTGTCGTGTCGTGTCGTGTCGTGTCGTGTCGTGTCGTGTCGTGTCGTGTCGTGTCGTGTCGTGTCGTGTCGTGTCGTGTCGTGTCGTGTCGTGTCGTGTCGTGTCGTGTCGTGTCGTGTCGTGTCGTGTCGTGTCGTGTCGTGTCGTGTCGTGTCGTGTCGTGTCGTGTCTTGTTGTCTTGTGTTGTGTCTTGTTGTCTTGTGTTGTGTTGTCTCTTGTTGTGATGTGTTGTGTTGTTGTGTTGTGTTGTGTCTTGTTGTGTTGTGTCTTGTTGTGGTGTGTCTTGTTGTGTTGTGTTGTGTCTTATTGTGTTGTGTTGTGTTGCGTTGTGTTGTGTTGTGTGGTGTTGTGTTGTGTTGTGTCTTGTTGTGTTGTGTTGTGTCTTGTTGTGTCGTGTTGTTGTGTCTTATTGTGTTGTGTTGCGTTGTGTTGTGTTGTGTCTTGTTGTGTTGTGTCTTGTTGTGTTGCGTTGTGTCTTGTTGTGTTGTGTTGTGTCGTGTTGTGTTGTGTCGTGTTGTGTCGTGTTGTGTCGTGTCGTGTTGTGTTGTGCTGTGTTGTGTCTTGTTGTGTTGTGTCTTATTGTGTTGTGTTGTGTCTTGTTGTGTCGTGTTGTTTTGTGTTGTTGTGTTGTGTTGTGTCGTGTCTTGTTGTGTTGTGTCTTGTTGTGTTGTGTCTTGTTGTGTTGTGTTGTGGTGTGTTGTGTTGTGATGTGTTGTGTCGTGTTGTGTCGTGTTGTGTCGTGTTGTGTTGTGTTGTTGTGCTGTGTCGTGTTGTGTCTTGTTGTGTTGTGTTGTTGTGTTGTGTGGTGTTGTGTCTTGTTGTGTTGTGTGGTGTTGTGTCTTGTTGTGTTGTTGTGTTGTTGTGCTGTGTCGTGTTGTGTCTTGTTGTGTTGTGTTGTGTCTTGTTGTGTCGTGTCTTGTTGTGTTGTGTAACCCGCCGCCACCCGACGTAGCCAATCCGGCGAGTTGTTTGCCGCGTGAACAAAGCGCGTGGCCACAATCGTTACATAGTGTACAGTGTAGTGTACAGTGTCGTGTACAGTGTAGTGTACAGTGTAGTGTACAGTGTAGTGTATAGTGTAGCGTACAGTGTAGTGTGCAGTGTAGTGTGCAGTGTAGTGTACAGTGTAGTGTGTAGTGTAGTGTATAGTAGTGTATAGTGTAGTGTATAATGTAGTGTATATTGTAGTGTATAATGTAGTGTATAGTGTAGTGTACAGTGTAGTGTACAGTTTAGTGTATAGTGTAGTGTACAGCGTAGTGTACTGTGTAGTGTAAAATGTAGTGTATAGTGTAGTGTATAGTGTAATGTATAATGTAGTGTATAGTCTAGTGTATAGTGTAGTGTATAGTGTAGTGTATAGTGTAGTGTACAGTGTAGTGTACAGTGTAGTGTGTAGTGTATAGTAGTGTATAGTGTAGTGTATAATGTAGTGTACAGTGTAGTGTACAGTGTAGTGTACAGTGTAGTGTATAGTGTAGTGTATATTGTAGTGTATAGTGTAGTGTAAAATGTAGTGTATACTGTAGTGTATAGTGTAGTGTATAGTGTAGTGTATAATGTAGTGTGTAGTGTAGTGTATAGTGTAGTGTATAGTGTAGTGTATAGTGTAGTGTATAGTGTAGTGTATTGTGTAGTGTATAATGTAGTGTATAGTGTAGTGTATAATGTAGTGTACAGTGTAGTGTACAGTGTAGTGTACAGTGTAGTGTACTGTGCAGTGTACTGTTAAGTGTACTGTGAAGTGTACTGTGTACAGTGTAGTGTGCAGTGTAGTGTACAGTGTAGTGTATAGTGTAGTGTATAGTAGTGTAGTGTAGAGTGTAGTGTATAGTGTGGTGTACAGTGTAGTGTACAGTGTAGTGTATAGTAGTATATAATAGTGTACAGTAGTGTAATGTATAGTAGTATATAATAGTGTATACTAGTGTAGTGTATATTGTAGTGTATAGTAGTATATAATAGTGTATAGTAGTATATGTGTAAAGTAGTATATAATAGTGTATAGTAGTGTAGTGTATAATGTAGTATATAGTAGTATATAATAGTATATAGTAGTGTAGTGTATAGTAGTATATAATAGTGTATAGTATAACATAATAGTGTATAGTAGTATATAATAGTGTTTAGTAGTATAATAGTGTTTAGTAGTATAATAGTGTATAGTAGTATATAATAGTGTATAGTAGTATAAAATAGTGTATAGTAGTGTAATATATAGTAGTATATAATAGTGTATAATAGTGTAGTGTATAGTGTACTATATAGTAGTATATAATAGTGTATAGTAGTGTAATGTATAGTAGTATATAATAGTGTATACTAGTGTAGTGTATATTGTAGTGTATAGTAGTATATAATAGTGTATAGTAGTATATAAGTGTAAAGTAGTATATAATAGTGTATAGTAGTGTAGTGTATAGTGTATAGCAGTGTGTAATAGTGTGTAGTAGTATATAATAGTGTATAGTAGTATATAATAGTGTATAGTAGTATATAAGAGTGTATAGTAGTTTATAATAGTGTATAGTAGTATATAACAGTGTATAGTAGTATAATACTGTATAGTAGTATATAATAGTGTATAGTAGTTTATAATAGTGTATAGTAGTTTATAATAGTGTATAGTAGTATTTAATAGTGTATAGTAGTATATAATAATGTATAGTAGTATATAATAGTGTATAGTAGTGTAGTGTATAGTAGTATATAATAGTGTATAGTAGTGTAATATATAGTAGTATATAATAGTGTATAGTAGTTTATAATAGTGTTTAGTAGTATAATAATATATAGTAGTATATAAAAGTGTATAGTGGTGTAGTGTATAGTAGTATATAATAGTGTATAGTAGTATAATGTATAGTAGTATATAATAGTGTATAGTAGTGTAGTGTATAGTAGTATATAATAGCGTATAGTAGTGTAATGTATAGTAGTTTATAATAGTGTATAGTAGTTTATAATAGTGTATAGTAGTATATAATAGTGTATAGTAGTATATAATAGTGTATAGTAGTATATAATAGTGTATAGTAGTGTAGTGTATAGTGTAGTGTATAGCAGTGTATAATAGTGTGTAGTAGTATATAATAGTGTATAGTAGTATATAATAGTGTATAGTAGTATATAATAGTGTATAGTAGTATATAATAGTGTATAGTAGTATATAATAGTGTATAGTAGTATATAATAGTGTATAGTAGTATATAATAGTGTAAAGTAGTATATTAAAGTGTATAATAGTTTATAATAGTGTATAGTAGTATATAATAGTGTATAGTATATAATAGTGTATAGTAGTCTAATGTATAGTAGTTTATAATAGTGTATAGTAGTGTAGTGTATAGTGCAGTGTATAGTAGTATATAATAATGTATAGTAGTATTTAATAGTGTATAGTATTAAATAATAGTGTATAGTATAATAATGTATAGTAGTATATAATAGTGTATAGTAGTGTAGTGTGTAGTGTATAGTGTAGTGTATAGTAGTGTAGTGTACAGTGTAGTGTATAGTAGTGTCGTGTATAGTGTAGTGTATAGTAGTGTAGTGTATAGTGCCTTTACCCCCCACGCCCCTCCCCCCACCCCCCCCCTCCCCCCACCCCCTCCCACCCCACCCCCCCCCCACCCCCCCCCCACCAACAACCTGGAGCAGGTGAGAAGCCGTTCGGCTGCGAGTTTGCGGGCTGTGACCGACGTTTCGCGAACAGCAGCGACCGCAAGAAGCACATGCACGTGCACACCTCGGCCAAGCCCTACCTGTGCAAGCTGTGCGACAAGTCGTACACACACCCCAGCTCCCTGCGGAAACACTTGAAGGTGAGGGTGTAGTGTAGTGTAGTGTGTAGTGTAGTGTGTAGTGTAGTGTAGTGTGTATTGTAGTGTAGTGTGTAGTGTAGTGTAGTGTGTAGTGTAGTGTGTAGTGTGTGAGTGTGCGACAAGTCCTACACTCACCCCAGCTCCTTGCGCAAACACTTGAAGGTGAGGGTGTAGTGTAGCGTGTAGTGTAGTGTGTAGTGTAGTGTGTAGTGTAGTGTGTAGTGTAGTGTGTAGTGTAGTGTGTAGTGTAGTGTGTAGTGTAGTGTGTAGTGTAGTGTGTAGTGTAGTGTAGTGTGTAGTGTAGTGTGTGAGTGTGCGACAAGTCGTACACACACCCCAGCTCCCTGCGGAAACACTTGAAGGTGAGGGTGTAGTGTAGCGTGTAGTGTAGTGTGTAGTGTAGTGTGTAGTATAGTGTGTAGTGTAGTGTGTAGTGTAGTGTATAGTGTAGTGTGTAGTTTAGTGTGTAGTGTAGTGTATAGTGTAGTGTAGTGTGTAGTGTAGTGTGTAGTGTAGTGTGTAGTGTAGTGTGTAGTGTAGTGTGTAGTGTAGTGTAGTGTGTGAGTGTGCGACAAGTCCTACACTCACCCCAGCTCCCTGCGGAAGCACTTGAAGGTGAGGGTGTAGTGTAGTGTGTAGTGTAGTGTAGTGTGTAGTGTAGTGTGTAGTGTAGTGTGTAGTGTGTAGTGTAGTGTGTAGTGTAGTGTGTAGTGTGTAGTGTAGTGTGTAGTGTAGTGTGTAGTGTAGTGTAGTGTGTAGTGTAGTGTGTAGTGTAGTGTGTAGTGTAGTGTGAGTGTAGTGTAGTGTGTAGTGTAGTGTGTAGTGTAGTGTAGTGTGTAGTGTAGTGTGTAGTGTAGTGTGTAGTGTAGTGTATGAGTGTAGTGTAGTGTGTAGTGTAGTGTGTGAGTGTGCGACAAGTCCTACACACACCCCAGCTCCTTGCGCAAGCACTTGAAGGTGAGGGTGTAGTGTAGTGTGTAGTGTAGTGTAGTGTGTAGTGTAGTGTGTAGTGTAGTGTAGTGTGTAGTGTAGTGTGTAGTGTAGTGTGTAGTGTAGTGTGTAGTGTAGTGTGTAGTGTGTAGTGTAGTGTGTAGTGTAGTGTGTAGTGTAGTGTAGTGTGTAGTGTGTAGTGTAGTGTGTAGTGTAGTGTAGTGTGTAGTGTAGTGTAGTGTGTAGTGTAGTGTGTAGTGTAGTGTGTAGTGTAGTGTGTAGTGTGTAGTGTAGTGTGTAGTGTAGTGTGTAGTGTAGTGTATAGTGTAGTGTGTAGTGTAATGTGTAGTGTAGTGTGGTGTGTGAGTGTGTGAGTGTAGTGTAGTGTGTAGTGTAGTGTGTGAGTGTGTGATTGTAGTGTGTAGTGTGTGAGTGTAGTATAGTGTGTAGTGTAGTGTGTAGTGTAGTGTGTAGTGTAGTGTGTAGTGTAGGGTGTAGTGTAGGGTGTAGTGTAGTGTTTAGTGTAGTGTGTAGTGTGGTGTAGTGTGGTGTAGTGTGTAGTGTAGTGTGTAGTGTAGTGTGTAGTGTAGTGTGTAGTGTAGTGTGTGAGTGTGTGATTGTAGTGTGTAGTGTGTGAGTGTAGTATAGTGTGTAGTGTAGTGTGTAGTGTAGTGTGTAGTGTAGTGTGTAGTGTGTAGTGTAGTGTAGTGTGTAGTGTGGTGTAGTGTGTGTGTAGTGTGTAGTGTAGTGTGTAGTGTGTAGTGTAGTGTGTAGTGTAGTGTGTAGTGTAGTGTAGTGTGTAGTGTAGTGTGTGTGTAGTGTGTGTGTGAGTGTAGTGTGTAGTGTAGTGTAGTGTGTGAGTGTGTGAGTGCAGTGTGTGAGTGTGTGAGTGTAGTGTAGTGTGTAGTGTAGTGTGTGAGTGTAGTATAGTGTGTGAGTGTAGTGTAGTGTGTAGTGTAGTGTGTAGTGTAGTGTGTAGTGTGTAGTGTAGTGTAGTGTGTAGTGTAGTGTGTAGTGTAGTGTAGTGTGTAGTGTAGTGTGTAGTGTAGTGTGTAGTGTAGTGTATGAGTGTAGTGTAGTGTGTAGTGTAGTGTGTGAGTGTGCGACAAGTCCTACACACACCCCAGCTCCTTGCGCAAGCACTTGAAGGTGAGGGTGTAGTGTAGAGTGTAGTGTAGTGTAGTGTGTAGTGTAGTGTGTAGTGTAGTGTAGTGTGTAGTGTAGTGTGTAGTGTAGTGTGTAGTGTGTAGTGTGTAGTGTAGTGTAATGTGTAGTGTAGTGTGTAGTGTAGTGTAGTGTGTAGTGTAGTGTGTAGTGTAGTGTGTAGTGTAGTGTAGTGTGTAGTGTAGTGTGTAGTGTAGTGTAGTGTGTAGTGTAGTGTAGTGTGTAGTGTAGTGTGTAGTGTAGTGTAGTGTGTAGTGTAGTGTGTAGTGTGTAGTGTAGTGTGTAGTGTAGTGTGTAGTGTAATGTGTAGTGTAGTGTGGTGTGTGAGTGTGTGAGTGTAGTGTAGTGTGTAGTGTAGTGTGTGAGTGTGTGATTGTAGTGTGTAGTGTGTGAGTGTAGTATAGTGTGTAGTGTAGTGTGTAGTGTAGTGTAGTGTGTAGTGTAGTGTGTAGTGTGGTGTAGTGTGTAGTGTGTAGTGTAGTGTGTAGTGTAGTGTGTAGTGTAGTGTGTAGTGTAGTGTGTAGTGTAGTGTGTGAGTGTGTGATTGTAGTGTGTAGTGTGTGAGTGTAGTATAGTGTGTAGTGTAGTGTGTAGTGTAGTGTGTAGTGTAGTGTGTAGTGTGTAGTGTAGTGTAGTGTGTAGTGTGGTGTAGTGTGTACTGTAGTGTTTAGTGTAGTGTGTAGTGTGTAGTGTAGTGTGTAGTGTAGTGTGTAGTGTGTAGTGTAGTGTGTGTGTAGTGTGTGTGTAGTGTGTGTGTGAGTGTAGTGTGTAGTGTAGTGTAGTGTGTGAGTGTGTGAGTGCAGTGTGTGAGTGTGTGAGTGTAGTGTAGTGTGTAGTGTAGTGTGTGAGTGTAGTATAGTGTGTAGTGTAGTGTAGTGTGTAGTGTAGTGTGTGAGTGTAGTGTATAGTGTAGTGTGTAGTGTAGTGTGTGTGTAGTGTGTGAGTGTAGTGTGTAGTGTGTAGTGTAGTGTGTAGTGTGTGTGTGTGAGTGTAGTGTGGTGTGTGAGTGTGTGAGTGTGTGATTGTAGTGTGTAGTGTGTGAGTGTAGTGTAGTGTGTAGTGTAGTGTGTGAGTGTGTGAGTGTAGTGTAGTGTGTGAGTGTGTGAGTTTGTGAGTGTAGTGTGTAGTGTAGTGTGTAGTGTAGTGTGTGTGTAGTGTGTGAGTGAGTGTCGTGTGTAGGGAGTGAGTGTGTGAGTGTGAGTGTATCGTAGTTTGAGAGTGTAGTGTGTAGGGAGTGAGTGTAGTGTAGTGTGTGAGTTTGAGAGTGTAGTGTAGTGTGTAGTGTAGTGTAGTGTGTAGTGTAGCGTAGTGTGTAGTGTGTGAGTGTAGTGTAGTGTGTAGTGTGTGAGTGTAGTGTAGTGTGTAGTGTGTAGTGTAGTGTGTAGTGTAGCGTAGTGTGTAGTGTGTGAGTGTAGTGTAGTGTGTAGTTTAGTGTGTGAGTGTAGTGTAGTGTGTAGTGTAGTGTGTGAGTGTAGTGTAGTGAGTGTAGTGTAGTGTGTAGTGTAGTGTGTGAGTGTAGTGTAGTGTGTAGTGTAGTGTGTGAGTGTAGTGTAGTGTGTAGTGTAGTGTGTAGTGTAGTGTGTAGTGTAGTGTGTGAGTGTAGCGTAGTGTGAGTGTAGTGTGTGAGTGTGTGAGTGTGGGGAGCGGTAGTGTAGCGGTTAGCGCGCTGCGCTACGAACCTGGCGACCCGGGTTCGATTCCCGCTCACGGCCAACACCAGTGACGATTATCTGAGACCGATCCCGGGCCTCCCCTAGGTCGACTCAGCCTCAAATGAGTACCTGGTGCGGTGTGTAAACATTGCCACTAGGGAGACAAAGGCGGTCGGGGCGTGGTGCTGGCCACCCACCCCCTCGTGTACCGTTACCGGCCTTCATAGGTGCTCGCTAACAGCACTTGCCCCTACAGTCTGTTAAGGCTATATGGGGGATCTTTGTATCTTTGTGTGAGTGTAGTGTAGTGTGTAGTGTAGTGTGTAGTGTAGTGTGAGTGTAGCGTAGTGTGAGTGTAGTGTGTACGGAGTGAGTGTAGTGTGTACGGAGTGAGTGTAGTGTGTACGGAGTGAGTGTAGTGTGTAGGGAGTGAGTGTGTGAGTGTAGTGTAGTGAGTGAGTGTAGTGTGTGAGTGAGTGTAGTGTGTAGGGAGTGAATGTGTGAGTGTGAATGTAGCATAGTGTGAGAATGTAGTGTGTAGGGAGTGAGTGTACTAATTTGAGGCTGAGTCGACCTAGGGGAGGCCCAGGATTGGTTCAAATAATCGTCACCCGGTGTTGGCCGTGAGCGGGAATCGAACCCGGGTCGCTGGGTTCGTAGCGCAGCGTAGCAGCTGACCACTACACCCATCACTTCCCACCCTCACTCACTTCACACTCACTCACACCACTCACTCACTCACTCCACTCACCACTCTCTCACTCCGCTCACTCACTCACACACACCACTCACTAAATCCACTCACTCACTCACCACTCACTCACACACACCACTCACTCACTCACACACACCACTCTCTCACTCCGCTCACTCACTCCACTCACCACTCTCTCACTCCGCTCACTCACTCACTCCACTCACCACTCTCTCACGCCGCTCACTCACTCACTCACACACTCACTCTCTCACTCCACTCACTCACATGCTCACTCGCACACTCTCTCACTCACTCTCTCACTCACACACACCACTCTCTCACTCCGCTCACTCACTCCGCACTCAATACTCAGTCTCTCACTCACTCACATGCTCACTCACACACTCTCTCACTCACTCACACACTCTCTCACTCACTCACACACACTCTCACTCTCTCACTCACTCACATGCTCACTCACTCACTCACACTCACACACTCTCACACTCACTCTCACACTCACTCACTCTCTCACTCCACTCACTCACATGCTCACTCACACACTCACTCACTCACACACTCACTCACTCACACATACACACTCAATCTCTCACTCACACACACACTCACTCTCTCACTCACTCTCACTCTCACACTCACTCACTCTCTCACTCCACTCACTCACATGCTCACTCACACACTCACTCACTCACACACTCACTCTCTAACTCCACTCACTCACACTCTCTCACTTACTCACTCCACTCACTCACTCCGCACTCAATACTCAGTCTCTCACTCACTCACTCACACACACTCACTCTCTCACTCACACACTCACACACTCACACACTCACTCACTCTCTCACTCACTCACATGCTCACTCACTCACTCTCTCACTCACACACTCACACACTCACTCTCTCACTCCACTCACTCACACACTCTCACACACACTCTCACACTCTCTCACACACACTCACACACACTCACTCTCACACACTCTCACACACACTCACACACTCTCTCACTCTCCACTCACTCCACCCACCCGGGTATCCACCTCTTGCCCCAGGTCCACGAGGGGGTTCACGCTTCCCAGCCCTCGCCCGCTGCCAGCTCCGGCTACGAGTCGTCCACTCCTCCCGAAGCAGCAGCAGCAGCCACAACCGCAGCAGCAGCAACAGCAGCAGCAGCATCAGCAGCAGCCACAACAGCA